TGACTTCAGGAAGAATTTTTTTCTCGTCTTGCTGGCGCTTTCTGTGAGCCAAAACAATTGTTTTCATTCCTTTATTTTCGCTCAGGCCTGATAGCCAAAATCTTAATTATCTGACTTACAAATATCTTCACTTTATCATCGTGGGGGTTCTTCAACTCTAGAGCTGGTCAGGATCTGTATACAATTCCAGCGGTCACCTCTCACCCCAAATACACCCCTTTTCGATTAATATTTCTTTTTCCATTGTTCTAAAAAATCCCATTTCTCCAAATTGATAATGAACTTCCACATTCCGCGGACACAAAAGTAGGCCAGGTGATTTGACCGATTTTATTAATCGTCCGTCTTGATGTCTTTCCACTTGTACCATGCCTGTTCCCTTTCTTTCTTTTAATTATCTCTAACTCCAAATAACAATTTCTATTGTTCGTGAAATTCGGTCAGGCGCGTTGGCCTAGATATCTCTTGACACCTGTTTTCGCTTATGACCGGCTTTTGCATTATGCATCTCTCCCTCTCTTTTTCTTTCTTTTCCTCTTTCTTTTTTTTCCTTCTTCTTCCCTTAGGATCGCCTAAATACAATTAGAGAATTATTCGCAAAACTCAATTATTCTTCGTCTAAATAACTGGTTAATAAACCGAATAAAAATTAAATCATATTTCTATGAATATTTCTTTTTAGTTTTTCTAATAATGCAGGGTGTCACAATAATAATAATACTTAACAAATAAAAATAAAAGCAACAAAAAACCAAACTGTGGAAACCCATGAATATCCATATTATGAGGTGATATGATACACTTAAAAAAACAAGGAGATAGAGATATAAATATTTGTATTATCTATCTTATGAAAATCTTAGAATTTTATTATCTGTAAAGTGAAAAATCCATTAGCACATGCAGTTGTTTATCAACTGATTTTTTTACGGATTATCAAACCTTTGCCGGTTATTTAAAGCCGAAACATATTTGGGAAGTAAGAATAAATCTATTTTTACAGTGAATATTTCAGTAAGATTTTTTTTTTTGAGTATAACAATTACTTTATTCACACAACAGTTCTACTACAGGGTGTCCCAAAATAATGGATACACTCTTTGAATCATCATATTCAGTTTATATATTTAGACTTGTAAATAAGATTGATACAAGAGAAAGGTTTGATTTGGTTTGGTTTATTTTCTTTTTACGGCATATCAACCTCAATGGGTTATTTAATGCCGACAAAATTTTTTTATTATTTTCTTTTGTCAAAAATCTGTTTCTGGTAATATATTTCCTTCAAAATTGTATTGCTGGTAATAATTTCTTTTCAAAAAGTATTGCTGTTAGTTGTTAACTATTTTCCTATAGCTGGGACCCTAACTGGTGCTACCACCCCGGGTCAGGGTGGACCTCGGAACACCAGCAATTAAGATGTGGTTGAAGATGTTCTTGAAGAAATGGACCTACAAACGTCCAGTATCATTTCCTCTGGTATTATATATATATATATATATGGTCTTTTGAAATCGGCTAATTCTAAGATTCCCGGCGTAGGCGTCTATATACGTTTTTTACTGAAAGTTAAAGCTATGGACATGTTTATACATCAATCTTGGATTCTTTTTAAGCCCTTCTGAGTTTGAGACGAATTTGGAGGTATTAGCTATCACTCAGGTACTTCAAGGTGATTCAATTTCTTCTTTACTTTATTAAAACTGTTGTGGTATCCTCCATCTAAAGAGTCTACGTTGGACTCTTCCGCCTACTATAAGATTAGTAGGAGAGAAGGCCTTGTGGGAACAGCCGAATAGATTGAACGCTGGATCAACCGACACTAGTCGTATAATACTCTTCTATCGTACTTACTGTTTAATATATGATATATCTGCAACACTGTTATTTCTTTAACTATTTATTTGGTCACAACAAAAACAAATAAAAAAAATAGTCTGAAATGGAAACGTTTTTCCCAAAATAGTTTGAAAGGGAAGAGTTTAACGCTCTGTCTTAAGAGTAAACTTACTAGGTTTTAGAAACTATTTCATGCGGCTTTATTAACTCCCGGTATTCTCAGAAAGTGTATGTTCTGGTCTCGACTAGATTTCGAAGACGGTTCCCAGACTCTTTTCAATTACACCCAGAACAGAAAGCAAACAATTTAAACTTTAGTAATCCGATTTGCGTTTCAACCCTTCCTCGTGTGACACTATTTAGGGTTGCGTGAAAAAAAAGAAAAAAAGGCGTAAATTAAATTAGGTGATAAGAATCTATCACGAAAAGACGATGTTATTTTTTTCTAACAAGGAAAAGTGGTAAAGATTTTGTTTTATTAGCGAAGAAAGTAAGGTCGCGGATCTCTCGCGTTTGATTTATGATATGAGACCGAAAAAAAGGTCGGTCAGGGAGGCCGATTTTAATTGGGTCACGAGAAAAATGTCCACTAACCACCCGTAGAGTACCAGGAAGAAAAGATTAAACCCTTAACTATCTGCGGATGTATCATTTGAGAAAAAGCATCTGTTTTATGTCGGAGCTGGCTATGATAGGATAATTATTTTATCGGAACAGATAATTGGCGAAAATCTCGACGAACTCCAGATAACGTTCGAGACCATCCTAAGTGTCGTGTGAGGTCTCCCTAGAAGAAATGAAAGAAAAAAAAAAAAAAAAAGATAATTTTTTTTTTTGAGCGATAATTAAAGAAAACGCCGCCATGAGCGTTCATTGGCTGAAGGGTGGCTGAGCGGTAGGCGAAGATAAACTATGACGAAGGAGGAGGGCTGTTGACGCCCCTGAAGGATCGGTATGAGATGCCACTGTGAACGCCTGAAGGGTTTGGTATGAGATGCCCATATGAGAAAAGAAGAATGGGGAGGACGATTCCCTACCCTAGAAAGTAAAAAACTTCCAAAATGGAAATTAATAAATCTTCCTGACCGAAAACAAAGAAAACCCTTAATGCGGATTTAGAATTATCAAGGAACCTCAAACCCCGACAGGCCCACCCCACTTTTGGTCGGCGTCCATATAAGCAGAGTCGCAACGAGTAAAGCGGCAGTTCGCTCTTCGCAGCTGAGTTGCTGAGCAGTTGGGGTTGAAGCAGTTGAATTAAGGAGTTCACAGCTGAGCGGTTGGGGTTAGACAGACAGGCAAGCAGTTGCAGTGAGCTGAGAGCTCTGAAGACCCGCCTCGCAGAAAGTTGACTAGGATTCCACGCAATCACAACCTCAACTTCTAACCAAGAACAATTTATTTTTTTGAAGAACGACTTAGACTCACACCACCAAAACAAGTTTTACGAACATCTCCCGAAGATACACCAAGAACCAGTTTCTTAAAGAAAAAACAACTTAAGATGTTAAGACTCGCCTAACAAAAACAAAGTGTCACGAAACCATATGAGCGGTTTGGGAGGAAGACGCGGTCCTGTATTCAGCAACCAGATATAAAATATTGTTATCCTTTTTTAACACATTTGAACTTTTCGAGTTATTACTTTATTTTCTTTTACATATACTTGTGCGGTATTACCCTTGTTCGGACTCGACTTGCATTACGGCCCGGCGACTGATTGATTTCGTCTACCTAAGATCAAATCACAACGTGGGTAGGTTAGACTAGAAATCAAAACAGTTACTTCGGTAACCAGACGTTGGAGGCGAGCTGGGAACGACAAGGCTGATAACGAATCTAACCAGACTCCCATCCGAATCAGTAAAAGGTTAGAACGTCACATTTGGTGCCGAGACCAATACCAAGTCACATTGGTCGTCACAAGACAGGATAGGACGGCGAAGGCGCGGAGACAGACGGAGTGACGTCACAATTGGCGCCGTGACCAGGGCAGCACGGTGTGCGCGGCCAGGCAGACGTCACATTTGGTGCAGCGACACCGGGGGACGTCACACTCGGCGTAGAGGTGTATATACGTTTTTTTATTGTTTTTTTTTTTTACCGACAATGTCATTTTCATACAATGCGAATATACACATCCAAAAAATAATGTTGAAAAACCAGCTACAGACGTTTTGATCTTGATTCTTTTAACGCACTTCTGAGATTGAAACTAGTTCAGAGGTCTTAGCCTCTGCTCGGGTACTTCAAGAGGTCTCAATTTCTTAGTTACTATATTAAAAAACAAATTTAAAACATCCGTTTGAAAATGAAAGGATTTTTCCATAATAATTGACGCGGACGTGGTTAATTTCAGATAGAATTTCAAGGCAATGGACATACTTAATGTAGTTAACAAAAACAGCAATTATATAAATAAGCATAAATCAATAAAAATTTAATTTAATTATTTTACCGTTTAGATCTTACGCGGGAAAAATGCGATATGAATTTACTAAACAAATGAATTTGCTCAAGTTTCAACGATTTAAGACGGGGTCTTTTAAAGCAGCTCTCAGCATGGTGTCAATATATCGTAAACTGAAGTTAATACTTTGAAAGCAGTCGTATGAAAGATGCAACTGATTGTGGACACATCCAATATTCTCAAGTAGCAATGCACGCCCCACTGACATCAAAAGCAAGAAGGATGGGCGCGCGTATTTCAAACCATTTCTGTTGCCTTCAACAGGATATTAACTCTGGCCTGGTAACTGATTCGTTGAAAATGGCTGTAACCATTATAGACTAAGCGAAATATTCCCAAAGGATAAAAGAGAACAAACAAGTATATAAAAGGACTGAGATAGGAAATGAATGAATGAATGAATCATGTTATTATTATTATTATTATTGGTTGTAGTAGTAATCATGTTTGTAGGTTGTGCATTCATTCATGTCATTGTCGTATTAGTAGTAATTGTTGTTATAGAGAAGGTTGCTGGTGAGGTTGGAGGAGAAGAGAAGCAAATGTTTATGTAGAGAAGCGGAAACAGACATGGAATTCTGGGATTGGGAATAATGTCGGCTCCTTACAAGTGATGACTTGAAGCGAAAGAGACAAAGAGAGACAGACAGACAGAGAAAGGGTTAACTATTTCAGAGGAAAAATAACAGACGGAAGAAAGAGGAATATATGTAAGCTATGAAGAAGAAAAAGCAGAAGAATAAAAAGAAAGAGAATAGAAGAATAAACGAAAAATGAAAGATATGATACACAAGAAGAAGTAATAAAGATATGATGAAGAAGACGAAGAAGAAGAAAAAATAGAAGAAATAAAGAACTAATATACAAGAAGAAATAATTAAGATATGAAAAAGAAAAACTTGAAGTAAAAAAAAATTAAGGAGATGGAAAGAAAGAAAAAGAAAGAGAATGAGAATAGAAAAAGAAATTGAAAAAAAAAGAAACAATCGACGAAAGGAAAAGAGAAGAAACAAATAAAAGAAGAAAAGACACACAAACGAAACACAAAACATTACAAAGAAGAAAATGATGGAGAAAAAAAGTGAAGAAGAAAGAGAAAAACAGAAGAAAAAATACGATACACTAGAAAAAATAGTAAGCATGTGACAAAGAAGAAGACGAAGAAGAAAGAGAAGAAAAACGAGAAGAAAAAGAGAAAGACAAAGAAAAGATACACAACAAGAAATAAAAGCATATAGCAAATAAGAAACTGAAAAAGAAGGAAAAGAAGAAAAAAACAAGAAGTGCCACAGAAGAAGAAATAAATATATGATGAAAAAGAAAAATATATATGTATATAAGGAAAAATATTTAAAAAAATCTGGCAAATAAAATACAGCAGCAGCAGCAGAAGAAGAAGAAGAAGAAGAAGAAATAAGGAGAAAAAATGCGAATGAAGAAGAAGAGGATCAATGATAGAAAGAAGAAGAAATCGTAAAGAATGAATTCAAAATGAAGAAAAAAACAGATATTGACAACCAACCAAATCTCTATCAGTAACAGACTCGTAGAAGTGACCAACATACAAATACACCCATCTAACTAATGAAAATAATAATACCCTCGATATAATAAATGGCAATGTCAGTGTGTCACACTTTTTTAATTAAAGAGATACATCACTCAATAGCTCATCTCCTTCTATATAATAAATGCGAATATTAGTGTGTCACACTTCTTCAACTTTACTTCTAGCCTAACATGTACCATTTTGGAATCAGGCCGACTCCCTGAGCAAATTAAATACATTTCAAGAAGGAACCGGACTGGTAATTCTCAAATTTTGGATTCCAAAATTTTCATTATTGCTATTATTTTCGACGATTACTTTATGAGATTTTTCGCGACGAATTTTTTGTACGATTTGGGAATAATTGAAATTAATTGCGAAATCCTGCAAAAGTCACCCATGAAATAAAAATAATTGTTTGTACGCAAAGTAAGGACCTACGCACATCAAATTTTCTTTAAAATAATTGGCGACAGAAGAATTATCGTTGAACTTTTAAAAGGTAAGCTTAAATATTAATGCGATACTATAATGAAGCAACACATTTTGAGTTCTTCTGTAATTTATTGTGGCGTATCTCATCTACAACTCCCAACCTATTTAATGAAGGCCCCCATCAATATCCCTCCGCAGAAGATAACTTAAATTCCACCAGATAGGATGGCTTTAAGATAGTTAATATTAAAAATAAACTAAAGCAGAAAGTAGTGATATGAATTATGAATACGGTCAGATTGTGCTGACTGTGTTCGGAAATCTAAATATTTGTATCCCTATAAAAAGTAAATTAAAAAAATTACATATTCATACAACAAATTACCCTTGGTAATGTTTAATAGTAGAGAGAAAATCGTTCGGATCCACAGTTCATTTGAAAAGTTCTTACTCACACTAAGTTCCAAAAAGAGATGTCTTGAAAGAAAGTCAGATAAAATATAATAAAACTGCCATTCGTCTTCAATGAAACCCTTATAAAACATGATTGCTGCACAAATACAGAATTACATTATATATATATATATATATATATATATATATATATATATATATATATATATATATATATGTATTTGAAAAGATTCTTACAGGTACAAAATTTTATTATGGCAAGGAATAAGCGGAATGTAAAGGACATAATTATGAAAACTAAGAACTAAAACAAACAACCGCTTTCGTCCCAGTACTCCTCAAGTTTGATACACTGGGATTATTTAATCATAAACTTAAAAAAAAAAAAAAAAAAAACATTCAATGAGGGGGAAAAGGGGAAAAAATTATATATGATAGAAAGAACTAGAGCCCAATCACATTCAAGCACAACAAGCAATCTCTCTGTTTACAGAGAAACGGCCTGCGGGACTTGATGTAAATGGACTCCAGAACTTTCAAATGATATGCAGAGTGTGACTTCGCCAGAATGGAAAAACAGTCAACACTCAAACCAGCAACACATTCCCTGCTAGTTATAGCGTGTTCCGCTATAGATGACCCGGATGTATTCACTAGTTGGCTTTTGTTAGTGGCCGGATTTAAAATTTCGAGGGGGTAAATATTGTTTATATATATATAAATTATATTTATTTATAATTATTGTTTATATATATATATATATATATATATATATATATATATATATATATATATATATATAGAGAGAGAGAGAGAGAGAGAGATCTATATAAATAAATTTCCAAGAGGATAGAATCCACGTAGAGCTCAATGTCCAGGTCAGAGCAAGAATATAATATAAAAGGCTCAAACTCTAATATTCCAAGATTATAATTTATTACATTGGAATCGTAATCACGATTCATCAGACCTACTAATTCATATATACCAAGTGTAACAGCAAATTTGTCTAATTGTTACATTAACCTTTGAACTGCTGTATCTTAGAAATGATTAAAGATATATTACTGAAATTCTTGGATGTTGTTTATAACACTGTTGGATTCTAATTTGAACAATAAGATTGTATTTAGCTTTAAGTTGAAATATGATCCCATTTGCAGTTTTTACCTTCCGATCCAGTTTTCCTTTCTACTGTTCCCTCTTTTTAAACTTATTCACCGTTCTCTTGCTGGTTTTGTAATGGACTTTGAAGATGGAAGCCAGAGTATGAATGTTGGTACCATTACTGAAGACCTGAATAAATCTTTATACCTCTCATCATTGGAGGATACAGTAGAGCTGACACAAAATGATTTTGAGATGTTCTCTTTCTAGCTGAATAACTCAAAGGATTTTTCATTGATTATTACAACAAATGGTGTTAAGATGACGAAACATCTTATCTGGAAGCCTGGAAAAAAGAAAATCTATTAGATTAGATTTCTTTTAGATATTAAACTTTGGGGGGGAGGATGGAAAATTATCCCATAATGTTTACATGATTTGGACAATTCTGCTGTTACACGCTGTATATGTTTTATGCAGACATATATAAATTCAACAAGTCAGCTTCGTTTCCTTTGTTTCAAACGAAAAGAACATTTTTCATCGTTGGTCCTCTGTTGCTTGAAAACTATGAATTCAAAATAATTATTTAATACATGATGAAGTTAAAAGTAAAAATAAAATCATCCTTGATAATGGCTAAAAGTAGAGCCGAAAGCGTTCGGTCATAATAAACATTAGGAAAATTTCTGAATAATTTTTTTTTTTGCCAAGAAAAGGAGACAATGAAATAAAAAACCTTAAACGAAGTAACTTCTCAGTAGTATTTAATTAAAATTTTATAAAAGATGGATTGCCGCCCAAATACACACTTTCAAAGTTGCCTTTTCCTAGACCATTTGCTATCCATGGCTAAAGGATCCAGTATCTCCTACTATTTACCCTCAGCTTGAAGAAGAAGAGGATTAATATCTTTCCCAAGGGTAAAGGTATGAATGCTCTTCCTCTCCCTCCAGCTATGGCTAAAATAGCAGGACAGACTGGGTTCTATAGCATTAGATGGCAATTGGTCTAGGAGAAGGACAACTCTGAATTCAAAACCTGCGGAGGGTCGGTGCACCAGGTCTCTGTATTCGTCCCTTCAAAAAGTGTGGATGGTCCTGCACGAGGCCTTCATCACTATAATCAAATCTCATGTGCCGTTGTCGGGCTATCAGTTTCCTGAAACTGATCTGCTTGACCCTCATACGTCGAGTCTCGACGGGAGAGTCGATTATATATATATATATATATATATATATATATATATATATATATATATATATATATATACACACACACACACACACACACACACACACACACACACATATATATATATATATATATATATATATATATATGGTGGACTCTCCTGTCGTATTTGACGTATGAGCGTCAAGCAGTTCAGTTTATAGGAACCGACAGCCAGACACCAGCACATGTGAATTGATTGTCATTGTGAATGTTTATTGCAGAACCATCCACACTTTTTGAAGGAGCGAATACAGAGAGCTGATGCACTACGTGCCACAATGTCTCCCGAATGGCTTCTTTCTCGTTTATCATTGAACATCATCCTCACCAAAGCCATCGTTCGAAAAAAACGGCTAATGATTTTCATTGTTTACCAAATACTTGGCAGTCATGAACACTTTTTAAATTATATATATATATATATATATATATATATATATATATATATATATATATATAT